TTTCAGAAAATGTAGAGCTTTTTTTTTTCTAACTAGAGCAAATATATATCAAATTTTATTGTGAAATATATAGATTTGAAAATATTGCTCTTTTTTCCATTTTCAGATCATCTTATTGCATGTAATATTTTTCTCTTAGATTATTGTATAGATAGACACATCAGAGAAAATATATTTTAAGACGATGGGGTTATAAACTAATTTTTTTTAAAATTAATATTCATTGCTTTTTTTTTTTTTTTTTCAGCTATACTATTTACCTCCAAATATTCAACCTCTTCATGTTTTTCTGGCTGGTAAATTTTGTCTCAGCTCTTGGCCAGCTAACACTGTCTGGTGCTTTCTCAAGTTATTATTGGGCTTTCGATAAGTCCAAAGATATTCCAGCTTTACCATTATTAGGAGCTTTTTATAGATGTTTCAGGTAAGCATCAAATATATTTTAATCTTATTATTACAAGCATCATCTTTCTTACTATAGTTTACCTTGATGTAGTATTTAGGTTATCTCATAAGGACTCAAGAATTTCTTCTTGTAATTGTCAACAGATACCATTTAGGCTCTTTGGCTTTTGGGTCTTTGCTGATTGCTATTGTTCAAATCATCCGAGCTTTTCTGGAATACTTGGACAGCAAGTTGAAGGCTTCAGAGAATCCTGTTGCCAAATTTTTTCTCAAGTAAGTATTGAAATTATATTTTGGAAAATTAAAAAAAAATTATCTTATGGAATAATTCTTTATTGATTTTTTTTATTATACAATACAATGTCAATTTTATTTATCAGCCTAAAACTTTTTTGTTTAATTAGCAAAATATGTTTTATTTTGTTTGTTGTTTTATATGCTTTGGATGTTCCTTCAGAATTGAAGATAATTTACTTCCTAGTTCGAACTTCCTGCAGGACAATGGGGAATGGAAGCGGGCAGGGTATGAACCCAGGACAATCAAGAAGTCTGAATGACAATCCAACTTCCATAACTAACAACCAGGCAGCCATCCTAATCCTAAATATTTAATTATTTTGGTATTATTTCTTTGCTATTTAAGATTCATTACTATTGAGCCAAGTCAGGACTTTAAAATGTTGGATCCCTGTTCAGGTTATTAAAAATTAATGATAGAAGGTCTGAGGGAGTTATGTCAGCTTGTTCAGTGATGTCTAGGGTGCCAAGCAATTTCCTGCACTCCAAGCTGCAGAAATGCATTATTCAGAAAAAAACAATGAAAATGAGCAAAGTTGTTTTTTTAGTTGTTCAAGTTAAGTTTTGGAGCTTACATGTTATTCTAAATGGAAGCAATTTGAAATTGCATGGTGTGAGTAGAGTACAGCCAGTGACTGAGGTTAGGGCTTATACCATTTATTATGCAGAATATCTGTGAAGCCAGTCAGCCTCTTCTGTCTATATTCATTAGGTAAAGAGCCTCTGTTGCATTTACAAAATAAAGCTAGCCTATAGAAAAGTATGAAACATTTGTACCTTCTCTTATTGTTTTACTCACACAAGGCTCAATCATTTAGGCTTAAAAAATAAAGTATAAAATGTAAGAATTCTTCAGCCTTGAGGCTCTGTGATCAAACACTTTTACACACCATAAACACTTTTACACACCATAAACACTCTACACACCATTAAGTCCCAGCTAATTGAAAAAAAAACAATTTTTTTTCTTTGAAGTATTATTGTTTGTTTTTTTCAGGTGCCTTAAATGCTGTTTTTGGTGTTTAGAAAAAATATTGAAATTTCTCTGTAAAAATGCTTACATCATGGTATGTTTTAATATCATGCTTACATATGTAATCTAATTTGTTTTGAGTTTATTCTATTTACTGTAGGTTTATTACTTATTTATTATTACTGTTAGTTCTTCTTCCTCTTCTTCTTATTATTGTTATTATTTATTAGTTTATTATTGTTTTTATTAAGTTTATTATTACAGTAGCTTATTTATTACTTTATTAGTTTCTATAAATCTACTTTAGGCTACATAGACAACTTCATGTTTCAAAAAAAAATTGTTTTGCAGTAACTTTTGTGTTTTATGTGTAGATTGCAGTTTATGGTAAAAATTTCTGCACATCTGCTAAGAGAGCATTTGAACTGATCTTGAAAAACTGTGTGAGAGCTTTTGTTCTTGATAAAGTCACAGACTTCCTGTTCTTCGTTTGCAAGTTAATGGTTGTTGGTGCTGTAGGTGAGAAATACATTTTTGAAGCAGTCCTTTAGGACAATATTTGTTTTTATATGAGCATTCAAGTATCGAATTGTGAAGAAAAAAATCTCTGTTCATAGTACCATAAAGTTTCAATTTATGAAACCTAGATATCATATGTCCCTTAAATAATAATAATTACTCTCAGCCAGAGAATATTACTCCAGATTAGGGGTGAACAATTTAGTGAATAAGTTTTGGACATTTCTTCAGAAATAAAGATTAATACATCCTAGTCCTAACCTCCTGCAGGACTGAAAGGGGTGGATGTGGACTGTGTTTTTATTGAGAACCAGCTATTGGAACTTATGAAAAAAATTAATTTAGCATAGAAAAAAAAAGGAAATAAAAAATTTACTTTAAAAAATTAAAAGTTGCCTGTTCATTTTTAAAATTTATTTTTAAATGAACAAAATCTAATAAAAATTAGAATATCTAATTAATGTATCCTTGTTGTTATAACAAATTAATTGATTAAAAGTGTTTACAAAAATAATAGTTCGAAAAAATGTAGCAAAATATTTTACTTTCATTATGGCCATCATAACAATAAATTCTGTAGCCTCCTAACGTTATATGATACTTTATTATAGCCTAGTTTTTCTTCAAAAGATTTTACACTTATTATTTTCTAAATTCAGATTTAAGCATTTAAATTTTTTTGTCAAGTATTGTCATTATAATCTCTATAGATTTTTAACAGGTAGTAACTAGTGCAAATATAAAAATTGATATTGCTCAAGGTTGTTACCAGACACTGTATAAAAAAGTATATAAAGAATGGCTGAGATATTGTCTCCATACAGAATATCATAACACATTTTTTTTTATATTACAATTTAAGCTAATAATTTTTTTTTTACTAATAAATTTTGTTTCAATTAATACCCAGGTGTGATCGCCTACTTCTTCTTTGATGGGAAAATAACATTTCTTAACCAGTATACACCTATGCTCAATTTTTATTTTGTGCCAATTATTGTAAGTTGATGGATTACTTAGTGAATATCTGGTTCATAAAAATAGAGTGTCAATATGCTAAATTATCAATCAAAATATTAAAATCATTTGACTTCAATACATCAATGTCATGATATAAAATCAAGTGTCATGGTCATGGTGGTAATGATTGTGGATGTGTTTACTTACTTTCCTCATGCTGCAAGTTCAGAGTCGGGCTCTTGTAATACACATATACACATTGAATATATTCAATGTACAGTGCTCTTTCTTCCCTAGTGCCATTAGAACATGCACAGGTTGCCTGAATCAGCCAGGAAAACCAATGACTTAGTAGAGTTTAAGTCTCAAATTAATATGCATGACTGGATTGACACAAGGTTAGCTGTAGGGTGTAATTATCTTCTTCTTTTAAGGAACATCTGTAATGTAAAAGATAAAGAAAATAAAAACCTAAGGGTCATATTAGGATACAATTAGGAATTTGGAGCAAAATGTTATTGGTTTCTTCAAATGGTAAATGTTTTCACTTAGAGACAATGATGAGACTAGTAAAAAGAAAAATAGGATTTGAAATGAAAGTAAACATATAGAATACGCTTTGCAGTGTGGTCAGCTTTAGTTTCTCAAGTAGATATTTAACTTGGCCACTTTCGATGGTTCTCTTCATTATGCATTAAACTTCTTGTTAGACATTGTTCAAAAAATGTTTTTTTGTCTCTTTCTGTGTCCTTTTCTTTTAGACCAATCATAATGTTTGTGTCTTGACCTTTTAATTTACATAGGTTTGACCTGTTCAAATTAGAACCATCTGTTACTTATAGTACATAAAACACTGAACCATAATCTTCAAATACAAAAACAAAACCTAATAAAATACTCAAAGATAAAGACACATTCCTTGTTCCATATGCTAGAACAAATGCTCCTTCTTCCCTAGTGCCATTAGAGCATGGAATGGTTTGCCTGAGTCAGTCAGGAAAACCAATGACTTGGCAGAATTTAAGTCATTGATTAACATGCATGACTAAATTGACTAAGAATATGTGTAGTTTTTTGAAGTAACATCTGTATTTTATAAGATATGATAAGTACATCCCCTAGCTGATCAGTCTGTGACCTAGATCTAATTGGCTTTAGAGTATCTGGCTACCAAAATCTGGACACTACACTTTGAATTGAATACAATAACATTTACTATTCTTAGAACAAATCCAGTTTAGCTCTTTCAATTCTGTCTTTTTAGTTTACATAATACTTTAACATTTCCAAACAAACAAAATGCAAAACTTTCATTCAATAAATTTGACTATTTTAGGTTGTTGTGATTGGTGCTTACATTATAGCTGACTTATTCTTCAGTGTTTATGAGATGGCAGTAGACACAATATTCCTTTGTTTCTGTAAGTTTATGTTTCATTAAAGTTAATCCTAAAATCATTTAGAAGCTGTTGCATTATTGATTCTTTAAGAATACAGAGTACTATACACTGCTAACATTTGAAGTCTTTTAACCTTTTGTCTAACCTTTTAACCTTTTGTTTAAATGTGAATCTATTTTACATTATTTATTTTACAGTGGATGATATAGAGAGAAATGATGGCTCACCAGAAAAGCCATATTTTATGGGGAAAGATTTGATGAAATTACTTGGGAAAAAAAATTTAAAGCCTAAAACAGAAGGATGATGACATATCTTTTTAACAATATTTCTTTGCCAAAACAAATTTTTGTCCATTTTTGAAGTATTCAGCATTTTTTTATTATGTATATAGAGATTAAAATTATAATATATTTTGACTTACTTTGGCTTAAGCAAAATCTTTCGAAAAGACACAGTTTCACAGTTGTAAGTCTACCAGCAATTAAAATTGAAAATCATTTCAACATAAAGCATACTGTGTAGGTAATGCTGACAGTCTTGCTATATTATCAAGCATAAATTGATTTGATGTGAGTTAAGAGGATTCTAGGGTTTGTATAAATACATAAAGTATGTTTTTATTGTAATTAAGTCAGGAAAGCTTACTTTGCTGTTTAAACAACATCACAAAATTGTATCTTAATTTACTAAGTCTTTTGTTAATTTTATTGTTGTTAATGTTTGTACATATCAATTGGCAATACATTTTTAATCATGTGATTGAAGAGTTCCTAGCAATGGGTTCTATGCAATATACATTCTTGTTACAAATGAACATTGGGTTAGAACCTTTCAATGGCTGACTATTTCATTTCTTATGGTCAAACTTGAGTTTTAAACTATGCATTAAATAGTACTTAAAGACATTTTAAAAATGTAATGCCATAGAGAAACCCTCCCCCCCCCCCCCCCCCCCCCCAAAAAAAAAACAACAGATCAATGTATCAACTTATTTATTAAAGTTATTATGACAAACTTTGTTTCAAGTTTAAAAAACTATAACAGGTTGGACTAGGGAATGAAACAAAAGTCTGTTGAGCTGATTTTCAGCAAAAAGCAAAACAAAACTAACAATGTCCCTATCACTTTAACTAATTGAACTCTTATCAAATCTAATTACTCTGTATTTAGATAATCAATACCAAAGCTTAATAAAATATGTCACAATGATATTAAAATTATTTTTGTCAACTTCAGTTCCATTTGATGGCTTAGTCAATTGTATTCTTTTAGTTGACTAATTTTAGTTCAAACCAATAAAGCTACAATACTCTAAGAGTGCTCTACATTTTAATACAAGCCTTAAGAAGTAATTTCTGTATTTAATTTAGATATCATTTTTTGCTTTTTGTACAAAATTTTTCTGAATTCCATCTATTTATTGTATATAATGTTTTTTAAAATGAATGCTATATTTCTTTTTTATTTTGTTTTGAAAAAGAATTGTTATTTTTTGTTGCTACCAGTTTGATTTCAAAAGTTCAATTTTTCTTAAGACACACATTTTCGATCAAAGTTTCTTTCAGTTATAATTTACAATCTGATCATGAGGAGTTCAAAATTTCTTAAACACTTAAGCAATAAAGCAAGAAATGCACCAATAGTTGGGAGAAATATTTTCTGATTTACTTAATTCTCTTTGATCAAATAACATTCTTTTATATATTTATAACTTGTTCTTGTTCTTAAAAACACTCTGTGATACAGTTGTCTATTTTTCATTTCAATGGACAAATGTTTACTTTATTTTTAACACCAAAAAGTAATATCTTGGCTTAAAAATAATTTGAATTAATTTTTTTTTTAAAAGGAATTACACTATTCATTCATGATTGTAATTATGTATTTCTTCAATTGAAAAAAAAATGTCTTCTAAAATATTTTGAAACCCAATTTATTTTCTCATTCAGATAGAAAAAATATCATTTCAAAATACACATACTTATATACATTTTATTGTATATATATATATATATCTATATATATATCTATATATATTTATATATATATATATATATATATATTAGGGGTGCACCGGATAGTACTTTTTGATATCCGGCCGGGGGCGCATATGACCGGATAGTAAAATTTGATATTCGGCCGGAGCCGGATAGCTACTACTACTACTATGGCCTCCTTCAGTCGCGAAGCGACTATGGATCATCTTGGTGAGATGTATGCCTGGGCATTAGCTGTGGTCGGAACGATGTCGCCCACACATCAGTTACCCCCTCTCCATGCAGCTGATGTATCCAATGGAACGGCAGTGCCGATACAGTTTGGGGTCAGCGGCATCGCAGGTTCTGCCAGAGTGTAGCACTGGGTGCTGCAAACTGCCTTAGGGTCGCCAGCTCCTGATTTTTCCTCAGGGTTGACTCCCGAAGCCTTTCCCATGATTGGGTATAGCTGCAAGGCAACGGAGGTTTGAATTCAGAGTTTTCCTTCTCCTAGGTGGGTAGCCAGCCATGGCTAACGAGCCCCTCGTACCCGAAGCTTACTGGTTAAGGCGCCAGTTACTCGCCTTTGCCCCTTCTCCTGTTAGTGAGAACAGTTCCGCCGGATAGCTAAGTGTCTTGTTAATAGCTTGTGTTGCTGAACATTTTACGAAACTGTTAAATAACATACCTATATTTGTAGGTTGTTTTTTTTTATATACTTTATTGTTTTAAACTCTGTTACTGATTCAAGCTTAACAGTATTTCTAAAAATCTGTATAGCATGAGTGTGTCTGTGTGTATGTACGATGCCACCAACTGTAAAGGATGTGTGTAGGAGGGTCAATGTAAATAATGTTAGTATATATTTAACTAGTTACTAAATGTAATTCTCATAAGTAAAGTGCAATCTGCCTTGTATAGTGGTTGGATGTGTGTTCATGAATTTCAGACCAACAACCTGGTCAGATATAACTATTGAGCCTACACATGTAGTCCTAGTGTAGTGTGGATAGTTGTTTGTGTTAACCATCAAGCATTGTTTTTTCCTTGAGCATACGCACGCAATAGAGTTTGCATGGTCAGTCAAGCATATAGATAAATTATACTCGTCCACTAGTTAGAGGTCAAGGTTTGTTGTTTTTTTTACGCTCCAGCATATTGTTTCTTTGTTTGCCAGATCTAACCGCGGTACTCCTATTATTCAATTTATTTTATGCGATTTTAAAATTTACTATAAGGTTTTCCGTTATTTATTACGTCAAAAGAATTAAACAATGAAATTAGCGTTATTTCTAAAGATTTTAATACAAATAGTAAGCCTATGAATGTCAGGTGTGTAAAAGTCGTCCTAACCTGACACACAGTGGCTAAGTACGCATCTTAAGTAAAAAAAAATAGTAATAACAAGGAGTTACTTGACTGTCACAAATTATATTGTTATCAAATCAAGACACTTAACTGCAGGAGTAATATTCAAGTTAACACGTTAGAAAAATTATTAAACCTAATATTTATTGACCGTGTAATATCCTTTGTTAGCACGTTGTGTTTTTTCATTCTGGCTTATAAATGGTCAATGTCTATCAATACATTGGGTGTCAACGACCAAAGAAATAAAAATAAAGAGTAGGGGGTGTTTAGCTCTCCATTTCAAGATAGCCCTGGTCGTGTCTTCTACAAAATAATTAGTTACTGGCTAACTGGGCTATATAATCTCGCGGTTTGTGTTCTGTGTAGCTAAAGGTCACTCGTTTAGGTGTGTGTGATCTTTAGTCCAGATTACTAATTGAGATTTATGTTCAAGTAACTCGGCACACTTGAAAAGGTGTGGCCTGTAGCCCAACCACGTGATAAAGATTTTTCTCCAAATAAGCAAACTTTTTGTCCGGAAACCCGTGTAGATGTTTGGCTTGAAGTATTGTCCCCTCCCCCCCCCCCCCCCCCCCCCCCCAATTAAGATCTGACTTGGGGTCACCTGTCAATCAATGAACTCATGTGATGAACTAAACAAATAAAAGGGGGAGGGAGCTGCTCATCTGGAAATATACCTAGTCCTAGTTACCTTAGAGGTGTGGCTCTTGTAGTCCAGCCCCCCTAATAAAGATTAACTACTAAATAAACAAACTCAGTTCCCTCAAAAGGCGTGACCTCTAGAGAGTGTCAATACGCTGACATGAAACCTACATCCATCGTATTTAACTTGTGGTCATCTGCATATAAAAAAAAAACTTAATGTGATGGACTAAGCAAATAAAAGGGGTGGGAGTTGTTCATCTCTACCTCTGAAGATATACCAGCACAGCTAGACAGACGTCTGGTCAGCATGACGTAGTCAAGGAATATAGCATTTTAACACGTTACACTCAAAGGTCAAGACAAATTGAAAAAAGTGTCAGCCATTGCTGCTCTGTATGTAAAGCGCATTTATGATGTAAAGTTTCATTTCTATTTATATTAAGTTATTAACATGCTTTGTCTTTATAATAAACGATGTTTGGTGCATATTCATAATGGCTCTATATTTAAGCACATTATTTTGTTTTAATATTAACATTAATTCATTCTGCAACAGACATTAATGGAACGAGGTCCACTTTAGGCATATTAAATAGGTATATTTTTTACTATCCGGTAGTGATATCCGACCGGAGCCGAATAGCACCGGATAGTAAATAATGCCGGATATTCGGCAGAAGCCGGAGCCGGAGTGACTATCCGGTGCACCCCTAATATATACATATATATATATATGTGTGTGTGTGTTCACTTAGGTTGCCATTGTATTTTTTGTTGTTGTTACCAACAAGGCATATCGTTATGTATTTAATATTGCCCAGTATTTATTATTTATGTAAAGTACAAATGTAATCATTACATGGTCTTGCAATTACTTTAGGGATTGCTGTTTTTTGTTTATGCCAATACATCATTGTATGCATCTAGTTCTCTCAAACATTTTCAGTGACAGTTCAGTTCTTTAGGCTGGCACAAAATTTGTTCACAAAAGTCTTCTTTAAAGTCGTGAGCACATGTCTTTCAATGCAATGATCTGTAAATAAAACTAGGGAAATAAAAAGATGTGTTTTTGGTGTGTGTTTCATAGCAATGTGCTGTAGCCCAAGTCATCGGAAGGTCTGAGTCAAACTTTCACACTTTCTCCCTTGGTCTCTCTCTTCCAACACTTTATTAAAGTTTTGTTTTATGGCCCCTTTTACCTCTTCAACAAATGAGCCTAATGCCACTGGGCAACGTTGATTTGACCCCATTAAATTAAATTAATTTTTGGTTTTATAAACTTAAATCTGTGTTTTATAAAAAGAGCATTCATTCTTCTATAATTATATACCTAATAAAACATTTTCTGATTACATACAAAAAAAGTGATTGAAGTTTAATCATAACAGGGGAGTGAAACACAAAGGAGCAAAATAAATAATTCCATCGGAACGTGGAAAATAATTATGGAGATAAAGGGTTAGGATTCCAAGTTAAAATTGTTGTGCTGATGGGAATTTTTAACTTTGAATTACCAGCATTTTAATAAGTTCATCTGGCATCTTCAATGATGGGTGTAGGTGATGCATTTTTATCCTGGCCACTGAATCAGGTGCACTCTTATCAGTACATTACTCCAATTCTATAGTGATACAAGAATCAGTTACATTTAACGTATGCCTTTCTGACTTGTTAGTATCAAGTTAGATATTGCACCTGGAATTATGACTTATGATGTGGTTTGTAAGTATTGTATCAAACCAGACATTTCTTCCAGACTTAATGACTTTTTTACTTTTTAGTATCAGGCCTGACATTTTTTCCAGACATGACTTTCTGACTTATTAATATCAGGCCAGAGATTTCTTCTGGGCTAATGAATATTGGGCGTGTTAGTATCAGGCCAGACATTCCTTCTGAAAAGATGATAATGATTAGGTCTACATCTTAGCCTTAACTTCCTGCAGGCCTGCACCAGTTGACAGATAGCAAGGTTGAAAGCGTGAAGTCTTTAGGAACCTAGCCAGACAGACACTTTGAATGGAACAAAACTACATGATTCAATTGTATTATTTCTAAAGACAAAGTAAGGATCAAGGAAGCTATTAATGTATTGATTTTCTACCCTATTATCTGTATATACTCATCAAAAGTCACATTTTGTCATTAAATGTTTGTAAAACTCCTTTTAAAGTTTGGTTAGATTTTATATAGATAAAAGTTGGCGACCTATTTAAAAAAATATTTGATCTTTTAATATCTACTTATGAGATCTATGCATTTTTGTGAGGGAGGGAACATGAGATAAAAAAAGACTTTGCAATAAACTGATTTTAAATGACCATATTTTCTTTCCAGTAGTGATTTTTACAGAGCTGATATTAACTCTGTCTAGTAAATAGTCTGTACACGTTATACCTCCAGGTCAACACAAGAATCAATAAAAAAAAATTAGTTAATTAACTATTGGTAATAAACTATTTTGCTTGGTATCTGGAACAAGGGAAAGACATTTGATATGACTGAAGTGGTGACATAAGCTGAATTAGTCCCCTTTATAGGTCACCGCTCTAAATTGTAATAAACAATATATAACTATGTAATATTCTCTAGTCAAAAGTACCTCACTAGCAGAGTGGTTAGGACGTCTGCCCGAGTTCGAATTCAGGTTGTTATCCCCCCTTTTGTATTTTATGGACCTCAGTGCTATGATCTTAGCCAGCCCAAAATTGCCATGAATTGGATTGTACTTTAAACACTTGAATTATGATCATCATCATCATCAAACTCCATTTGAGTGAGGGCTTGAGAGGCTTAAATCCTCTCTTCCAAAAGCCCTGGACAGAAACCTGCTGTCTTGCGTAGTGCTTACGCGTCACCATACAGGTCGAGAATTTTTGGTTTCCCAGACCTGTCGAGGCGGAGATCAGCAAGTCTGGGGCAATCACACAGAACATGAGGCACGGTTTCCTCTTCTTCCCCGCAGCGGGGGCACCTTGAATCAAAATTTGGCCATAGTCGTAAGAAATATGAGCCAACAGGATAGTGACCTGTCCTGCACTGTGCTATAATAGCTAGCTCAGGCCTGTACAGCGTTCACCACGGGGAAGTGCAGTCAGGGCGCCTCATGCGCTCCCACACTCCACGGGCTTTTTGGGACTCAAACCACTTTTCCATTTGTTGTTTGAATTATAGCCAGAGCATGATGAAAACTCACAGCCTGTTTGGTGGGTGGAATTTGCCCTACTTGGTGGGCCAAGGAGTCTGCAATAGTGTTGCCAGTCAAACCTATGTGACTCGGTACCCACTGCATTATTACAGGGGTGCCATAGCGCTGCTTTATATTGTGTGAGGCGATGATGACAGTGTCGATATTGGGGGGCCATGGTCCCTTGCCGAGTTGAGAGTCAATAAAACTGCTCTGATTGACATGACCCCAGCACTCTCGCCTGGTGTAGGGGTTTGTCTGTCGGGGCTATAGCTTATGCTGAATTGATCAGCCGCCGCCCTGGAGACTAGTGAAGGTTCAAGCCATTAAAATTTGCGGGCTCTAAACTGGTGGGTATAAAAAAAGGTCTCCTGCCTCACTCCACTTTCGTGGATTCAACCCTGCCCATACGAGTGAGTGGTTGAATTAACTGGTCTTTCGATCGTTTTACAGTCCAATGTCAATGTCTGGACTGTTTTCACTGATCGCCCTAAGGGGCAACCCAAATCTCCTCCACCTTGAATAAAGATAGCTCCGGGCTATATACGACCAATTCCATAATATAGTTGAAGACAGGGGTACATTCAACACTAGGCTATTAGACTACATCTATTTTACTCTAAACAAGATTTGTAGTCAGGAAATGTGCCAGCGAAATTTTTTTTTTAAAGAAAATGCACAGATCTTAAGGTGCTTTGAGCAGCTGGGTAGTGGAACAGCACAGTTCTGAAGGAGCTTGTTAAAAAAGAAATGTCATCTTTCTGTTCTGCCAATGATTGGAAGTTGCAGTCCTTGTCAAACAAATTAACATCTTTTATAACCCATCTCTTAAGGTAGTCTGCATGAGAGTATATCCTTTTTTTGGGGGTGGGGGGGGGGGAAGTTTTATGATAAGGAGTTTGTCAGACGGAAGGAGGACCTGATAAAGGAGGACCATGAGGACATATTCTCATTTTGCCAAACATCACGTGACCCCAGCGCTTCCGAAGATGTCTGTTACGTCTGTCTTTCTTAGGGGTTAAAATAAATTCACTTTTGCCATGCGGTTATCGGTAATTGATAGACATTTAAAATATATCTTCCCTCACAAATACTTGCTATATTGTCAGTTGTATTGTAACTTTATACTCCAAACATTCACCTACACTCCTTCCAATGCATTCGGTTTTTTTTTTATTGTTTATCGTAATGAAGACTTCTTTATAGGGGGGGGGGGGGACCAGCCCAAAAAAATAGAAAAACAAAACCTAATAAAATACTCTGAAAGACACAAAGATAGAGACACATTTCTTATTCCGCACGCTAGAGCAAATTCACAGAAGTGCTTCTTTCCTACTGCCATTAGAGAATGGAATGGGTTGCATGAAGCAGCCAGGAAAATGTACGACTTGGCAAGAGTTTAAGTCATGGACTAACATGCATGTCTAGATTGACACATAAAATGCGCAGGACGTAATTATCGTCTTTTTTTGAAGTAGCCAATCAAATGTTTCAAAAGAAATGAAAAGCATAAGTTGAGTTCAATGGTGTAATGAGGACTATTTGCTATGGCGGAGAGTTGAAAGGGGGGGGGGGGGGGAGAGAAAAGTGATAATTGAATTCGCCCGGTCAAGGTTATAGAGGGGAGGGGTGCGTGGCAAAATATACAATATAAAGCCTTGGACCAAATCAACGGGCGTATCCGGTGGATAATGTTAGTTATTTGCTATTTAACACATTTTGCAAGTAATTCTTTAATGGGCGAAGGATGTAATTAGTGTATTTATATATAAACAAGACTTTTTAAAAAAAAAGTCTTTTCTAAAAACAACTTTTGCAAATATTCATTTTACTATTGCACTCCTAGACAAGTGAGGCACTTTTCAGCATCAATTTGGAGCGTACAAAAACAAAAAAAAAAACAAAAAAAAAAAGCAAACGTCGACATAGAACTAAAGAAAAACCAAAAGATAGAAAATTATATATTGACATTTTTTCAATTCAAAGAAAGTCACTGAAAGTGGTACAGAACTTGATATAAAAGTTATCCGTTAAATGTCTAGTAAAACAGATTTAGGATACCAGTCAACTGGAGAAACTGGAGAAACTGCAAACCGAGATCAATCTTCCGAATCGTTAAGTCATTTAGAAACAAGCTCACCAAAATCGCATTCAGTAGAAGCCGGTAATTCAGCAATGATATCAAGTCCAGTTGACGGTGTGAATTTCGTAGAACCACCATATGAGCAAAAGGATAAAATAAAAGATTCCTACATCCACAGGAAAATGTCTGCCTTTAGAGGTAGGCGAAATAATAAATAGTGGTCGTCATTACGATCTCGCTTATTCGTTGTCATAGAGAAGATCTGTATAGATCTAGACTAGTAGGCCCTATAAGTTATAATGTGGTCATTGGTTAACATGCATGACTAGACGCATGACGCATAGGACGTGATTATCTTATTTTTAGAAGTAACGTCTGTATTTTATAAGATAAGATAACGATACTCGTCATGTCTATCAGACGTTTAAGAAACGAGGCCTGAGTTTAGTTAGTAGAGGCTCTAGGCAGAATTTGTATGGAGGCCCCACCCACTTCAAGCTACTATTTAAATACTTAAACCTAATAATATTAATAAATCTATTGATACATTGAAAAGCACGTCGTAATTTTGAAGAAAGCAATATAGTGGGCTACTTTTAAATTCAATCATTTGTTTTCTTATATTTACTATACATCTATTGTTATATGTTTTTGAAATATGGAGACCCCCTCTGAGGAATAAGGTTCTGGGCAGCTGCAAAATGTTGAACTTTTTAAAATTCGAGCCTAGTGGGGACTGGCCCATGCTTCAGGGGGTGTTACGGAGTGTGTGTGTGTGTGTGTGTGCTTCT